CAAACATGCAAAAAAAGAAGAGATCAGGAAGGGGGCAAACACTTTTTCACACAACTGTATATTAAGTCACAGTTAGTAGCCCTGGACAGCTGTTTAACCCTTATTAGGGCTCATCAATGCGACAAGAACTAATCAGTATTCATACCCTGAACTCAGACTGGTACCCTGAACGTAACCCTGGAAGGAGGTCTGTGGAACAGTTCTGTTAGCTGTACATCCATCTCCGTATATCTCTGTCTCCTGACTCACCAGCCACCAAGTGTTCGATGCCTGTCAGTTTGTGTCCCTCTCAGGAGCTGACTGGGTATCGCGGTGGCATCCTTGTGCTCGTGGCAAGTTGGCAGCCTGTCTGCTTGTGTGCCTCCCTCCCCCTGGACCGGTACTGCCCACACCCCCAGAGAGGGCCACCAGCAGGGCAGGCAGCAGGCCTGCGGACCCTGAGAACAGGAGAGCCGCAGCCGAGAGAGGGAGGCTGCTCTGTTCTCCTTCCAGGAATCCCGACTCTTCCCTGCCTGGAAAACAAGGAGATGAAGGATCTTCAGCGGAAACAGGAAAGAAGCCCTTCATCCAAGGGTGGCGAATGCAGAGCGGAAGTTGATGAAAATGTCATCTGGTCCAAAGTGTGCAAATGTTTATACTGGGGTGTACACACTGCAGCTCGGGCCTGCCAGCATCGCTCCTCAGGAAAACCCTGTCCTTTTTCTGACTCTTTTATTTACTATTGTTCACAGCATTTCAGACGGTGACCATGTACAGCATCAGCCATGTCATTCCTAAGGCCCCAGTCATGTCAGGACTGTTCTCCTGTTAATGTGAATTAGCAAAGAACTGTCAGCTTGCAAAACACTTGACAGGACATCTTATACACCTTTCTAATTCTGCAGGAAGGGGAAGTAACAACAGTATAAAGAACAGGCATGTTTTTTATAGTTAAACTGTTTCTGTTTCTCGCCAATTCTCTCATACGGGCAGGGACACAGCAGTGAGCTCCGAGCTGAAGTAAAACGTGGTGTTATCGAGTTTAGGAAATAATACACTCACTTTTGTGTGGGACTTTTGTAATGCCTTGGGCTTAGCCTGGTGTAAAGAATCCTGAAGGCCTTATTTTCTCTGTGCCCACTCTGTGGTAGGGGAATTAGATGTGTAGTAGGGCAATTTTATCATTGGGAAAATAGACCCCTTGGTTCCACTCAAAAACATTGATTCAAACGTACCAATATCTACCACCTGTAAAATGACCATAGCATCAACAACAATGATAACACTATAAGTAGAAAGACAGCTGGACAAAGAGAGGGAAAGCCTGTAAATATCGCTCGTCAGTTTGCTTTTAAATACACAGTCGGTGATAGAATGCAGGGAAGCTGGTTCTTCTTAATGGAAATCCAGTTAGATAGTCGCTGTAACAGCTGAATGCCTTCTTTTGTCTCGGATGGGAGGGGTCTTATTCGAAGCTTGTGAGACTGTCTCTGACCCACACCCCGGCCATCTCCAACCCCCCTGCTGTGTATCTTTGGCATGTGATCTGCTGGGAGGCTTCGGGGTCAGGGGTTACGACAGAATCAAGGACTGGTTATGTACAACAGACCAAACTAAAGGGATGTGGGAGTATGATGTTCTGTTGCAGGAGGGTCTAGTTGTTTCAGAACTCTACCGGGACTGACCGACAGTAACCTGACATCGGGCAGGTCCTGGGATCTCACCCCGAGTGTGACAAGCCTCTCGTCCTGCTCACACAACATCAGCCTTCTTGTACATCGAACCCCGTGATGCACACTCTGCGTGCTCCAGGCGTGGGCCCCCCCGAGCGTCTGTGGCGCAGGCCCAGGCGATGTGTGGCACCTGGGGCTCAGAGCAGTGCGGACAGGCATGTGCTTGCCCAGGCCAGAATCCCACCGGACAGCATGTGCAAACCAGCGCAGAGCTTGTGTAGCTCCGCCACCAGCCTCCACACACACACACACCACACGCCTGTGACTTCCACAGCCGGACCCCCTGTTGACCCACCCGAATGACAGCTCATGTTCATCACCACCGTGACTTTACCTGTGCCATCTCTGTTCGGTAAAAAAAAAAAGTCGGCGCATCACGTATTGGTTACTCACAATATTATCGTTATTATGAAGGAGCTTGGGTCTGGGTTTCTCACTAGTTCATTCTGAACTGTCTTCCAACGAGGTAGAATAGCTGCAGAAAACAAACACACAAAAAAAGTCGATGAGTCTAAATTTATATAATCTATAACGCATAACGCATGGCGACGAATACGTGTGAAAGCCCTCTGTATGTTGGAGCTAAGTTACTGGGAGAATTAAAAATAAAAAGGACGAACCTACATTAGGCGAAGAAACATATCTATTGTAAGTTACAATATATATACAATGTATGTACCAGTGTGGGTATTTATTGATCATATGACGCATCATTTACAGTGCAGCTTGCGTTCAGGACTGAGGAGGGAGGGAGGGCACAGAACTGTGTGACTGAAGATGGTCTGTTGAGAAAGGAAGTAACAAGCCTTGTCTTGATGTCTTGTGCAGATATTCTTCATATCTTTTTTTTTTTCTAACTCTCCCTCCCTCTGTCTCTCTCTCTCTCCAATAATCACCCTAGCAACAACAAACAGCGCTGCTCGGGCAGCAGCGCCAATAAGCTCCGAAGGCAGTCTGTTTCCTCACTTCCTCTCGTCGTGCCAGGGCTTGGCTTGTTGCTCTCCAGCCAGTGGGCAGCCATCTTGGATCCTGCTAGCAAGCAAAGCTTCACCTAGGGGAGATGGGAGGAATCGAGCCGGCAGCGGGTTTTCCAGCTAGACATCACGCTTGAAGCCCAGGGCGTTGTGCTTTGGGGGCCGAGCACTCAGCGGACCTACAGCCCCCGGGGGGTCACAGGCGGGCCGGTCACAGTTTTGGCGTGCACCCTCCTCTCTCTCTCTCCTCTCCTTTTTTTTTTGTGTGTTTTGGTGTGGGGGGGGGTGTGCGGTGTTTTGTGTGTGTTTTGTTTTTTTTTTTTTTGGTGGGGTGAAAACTGCACAAGGCTCGGCTTGTGCGTCTGTGCGTCTGGAGGGGGAAGAGAGAGTCCGGACAACTCGCCTGAAACGGACGGTAGCGCGGAGACATGAAAGTGTTTTCGTCGGGCTTTGTACGGAAACAATTTTCTTTTATTTTTCCCGTGACCTGCGAGAACCCAACCACCACCACCACCACCTCTCTTTTTTTAGGTGTTCAGAGCCGGCGTTTTCGGGTGTCCCCTTAGCTTAGAATAATGCGGTTCGGTATTTTTCCCTAATTAGGCTGCGACCGGGGGGAAACCAATCAAGAATTATCATCCGCTGGTGGTGGGAGAAGCTGGGTTCAAATTGCCGCTGAAAAAAAAAAAAATCTCCCCCTCCCCACGCCACCGTGGAATCCATGGTCTTCATCAGAAACCCAGAGAGAACTGCCTTCCTCTCAGCCCTCTGACTACGGGACTGCAAAAGCAAAAGACCGAGCACGGGAAACTTGCACGGCCGACACGCCGACGAGCACCATGTCCACACGAACACCGCTGCCCACGGTCAACGAGCGGGACACTGAAAATGTAAGTTGTGCGCTACGGCGTGTCCGTGTGTGTCAACGTGTTGGCCAGCGTTTGTCACTGTGGGGTTCGTGGTCTTGGGCTCGCTGCTCGCCGTCCCCCCCCAGTCCTCCCAGTACTGCTCAGGGCGGCTGTGGGGTTGCTGTCGGAGGATGCTCTGGCTTAGGGAAGCTTGAATCGTTTAGAAGAAACCTCCCCTACTTGATTGTACCGTGTTTTATTTTCCTCAACGATCACCGCTGCCCAAGTATCATCACTTGTGCGAGAGCGCTCATGATGTATTTCCTGGTATCCTGGTGCCCCCTTTTTTTTTGTGGGGGGGGGGAGAGCCGGAGCTGGTGTGCGTTAAAAAAAAATGACTGACGCATAGCCCGCTTGTTGCTCAAACTTAGGGCGCGGAGTATCGGTTTCTTTAAATATGACATTTCCATCGAGACGGGCTAACACGCCAGATAACTAGTAATTATCCCCCGTCTCTGGGAGCCGGAGCCGGCGGCTGCGCAGTGTGGAGGCTCAGTCCCCGCAGAGCCGGAGCTCACGATGGGTGAATCATCTTTTACCCCTCTTTCTTCTCTCTCTCCCTCTCTCTCTCGTCCGCTCCCGCCCCCCATCAGCCCGAAAAAGAGGATTTTCACACGTTTGTCGTCCACCCCCCCCCCCCCAAAAAAAAAACACACACCAATCTTCAGCGTGGACCCTATTAAAAGGAAAAAAAAAACTCGCGGAACTTCCGTTTTCTGTTTTCAGAGTGGGGACTGTGGTGGTGTCCTTTATTAGAGAGTGTGCAGGAGGTGCCCTCAGGTTACCTCGCCCGCTCGGAGAGCGATAGTTGCCGGGCCAGAGCACGACAGGTCCCCTGTTTCGTAATGAGTGGGGCGACAGCAACAAGTGGTACACCCCCACCCCCACCCCACCCGGAGGGGATAGCACCCCAACATCCAGCTAGCCTTGAAGCGGCTGGTGTTTGGCGGCTGAAAACAACTCCTCCTGCTCCTGCTGCCTCTGAGCTTGAACCCAGGCTGGCTGTCTTACCTGTCGGCGTGGGCGGGCTGTGGCGTGGGGGGGCACCCTCAGTGGGTGTCAGGATCGGAAGTGGCCTCTTCTCCTCGCTGTTCCAATGAGGAGCGTGTTTAGTGCCCACCCCCGGGGTGGTTCGTGACAGGTGCTGGGATGTTTCCTCACCGATCCCAGCGACAGTGTGAGAGCAAGAGACAGGCAGAGAGAGCAGATCAATGAGCTTCCATCACAAAAGAGAGAAGGCAGTCTGGTTTAATGCCATTCAGAGTGCCAATGACAAAATGAAGGGGAGCCACTTGGTGAAAAGGCATCGGATCTCCATTGTAAGTGAATCCCATCTGTGTCTTCACTGTCTTGTCGCGCCGGACAGAGGCTGAGGCAAAGGGAGGTTCTGTGGCAGAAGTTTAGAGGATGTTGAATTCATTCGTTTTCGACAAGTAAACTGGTACAAAAAAGTATTCAGGACGGATACTCGACGGTGTGTTGGTTTTGCTGACAAAAATAAAACACATCCGTGTGTTTTATTTGCACTTTTAAAAAAAAAAACAAACGAAGCAGAAGTCTTTTCGCCGTCTGTCTGCGTTACAAAGAGGGAGATCAGTTGCTGTGTTTGGCTATAGGATGCTCTGCTGAGATATTACAGCATATACACACATGAGCTGTCTGCACTGGGAGAGATACAGCTCTGTCGTTCAGCTGACACGCTTGTATCAAATGAAGGTGCCGTTAGGTAGCGTTGTTGGCGGATGCGGTGCTTTTATTTCTTATTTGCTTGTCTCAACCAAGGTGAGATGTATTTGGTTAAAGCTAATTTCCCTAACAGCTGTTTTAATGCAAATGACTTGTTGAGGCTGGCGCAGCACGGTCCCGGTCAGGCTACGGAACGAGAGGCTTCTGTAGAAAAAATGCGCCTCGACATCCTGTTGTTTTTCCTTTCCAGTTGGAACGTTTTCCTTGAGCCAATGTAAGATGCTGGAAACATTGGGTTGGCACAGTCTGGGAGCGTGTGCGATCCCTTGATTCGGTCGCTGGGTTTTCTACTTCCTCAGAGAGCCCGATTAATAGATTTCTGGTGGGGTTTTATTTCCATCCAGTGGAATGTCAGGAAGGGGGAGAATTGGGAACAGGATTCCTAGCCATGCCGGCTTTTGGCTCTTTGGAGTTTTCCGTTTGAAGGTAACGTGGAAAAGCACTTTCTTTCCAGTCTTGTCATGTTGCTTTTTGCCTGAATCAGGAAATATTGTTGATCAGGTGAAACGGCAAACTCTAGGCCTAACGCAGATGAACGAAGAGGTTACTATAAAACGAATCCACCCCAGGGATCTGTAGGTGTCTCAGTATTGAGCTGATCTATGGATCATTTGATCTAGGCTGTTTTATGATACTGACTGGCGCTGCCTCCGTGCCTCAGTCATGTCACCCTTGAGCATTTCAGTCCTCTTTTATTGTGACCGTGAGAGATGTGCATCACGTGCAATTGTAAAGTTAAGTTCTGTGAGTTTTACTCATTTGAGCTAATGCAGCTTGAGCACTGTATTCCTGCTTCCAGGATCAGGATATCTGCCGAATGCCAGCTTGTATGATGCTTCAGCAGGATGGTGATGATGCTGGGCTGTTGCTATTAATGATTGTGGTTTGTCAAGAGAAATTCCTTCATTGGTTCCCTGAGTACTAAATTACACTAGATTGTTTAATGACAGGCATTTACTTTATCAGTGTAGGGTGGTTACTTGCATTTAGCTAAGGTAGTGATTTTTATTTTAACTATAATCATGTTAGCTTAACTGCAGGTACTCTAGAATTTAGCTGTTTTTTTTTCCATACCAGTACTCTTAATTTTATGCAATGTTGTCGTAATGGTAGGCTTTTGCACTAACAAAAATCGGTGACACTTTCACAAAAATGATTTTAAGTGGTTGGGATGCGGTGATTTTGTTTTTAGAACTATAGGATGTAATTTACTTAAATAAGAGTGACCTGGGGCTGAATTATCATGGTGCCGTTAACTATGGACACTGAGTGTGTATGCGTTGCAATGAGAAATTATGCACTTGAAATGAGCAGTACAGCAGGCTTAGATGAAGAGTCACTGTCATGTCACTCTACAGGACACGGTGCCTTATTGATGATGTCATGCTTCAGGTGAGAGACCGAACCCTCTGAAAAGCACTAACTCTTGCAGTGGCCCTTTCAGAACCCCTTGTCCTGCTACCCAGGAGTTCTGGGCCTTGCTCATTGCCCAGGTTCTGGGAGAGCTCTGCTGAGTCGGGCTGGGGTTGTACAGGCCTGCGCAGGGCACACAATGGACAGGGAGAGCATCGTACACCATCGGTACACCAACCTTAAACTAAACGCCATTGTTCCCTTTCAGCTTGCTCTATCGAATTTTAAAACTGCAGCACTGTGTTACGCGTTAGAGATGAGTTCTCCCTGCTTCGATCTCATTTGGTGCAGGTGTTGAGGCGTATTAACCCGAATTTCTAAATCGGGCATTTCCGAAGCAGGCATGTCTGTGCACTGTTCCCAATGTCTGCATTGGAAGGGTTTTAGAAATTCCCTGCAAACTGGGAGGAGGGTAGGGGCAGCCCAGCCTGGCATGGAAATGAATTTGTCCCGTCAGTTCAGTTGATTCATCAGGGCTTGTTGAATCAGGTGAAGTGTTTCAGACACACAGGTCTTTGACATTTTAAGTTGAACCTGTTCACGGGCTGCAGCTCACCAGCCGACAGAAGGGGATACATACTCTTGTATCCCCTAAGAAATGTTTTTATGGGAACTTTAACTGAAGTGGAAAAAAAACACATCTCGGTTTGGGAAATGCTTCAGTAAAGGCAGATTTAACACAATAAGGCCATTAAGGTCCTGTTAAAATGAGGTGTTTAAGTAATAATAACTGTGATTGAATCAGAACGAATTAGTGTAGGCACTGTATGATGCTTGTGTGGCTGTTTTTGCCACTAAACTGGAAGTACCTGGAAATTGAAGGGTTTTGTGAAGTGATCACTGCAGCAGAGACTGAGTAGGAGAAGATGACTGTTCCCATTCAAACGGGATTAGTCAGGAAAACGGTATCTGGGAGGTGCTGGTGGAGTGGGTTTTTCTGTGGCTCTGTCAAAGGGCCCAGAAATGACCTTTTCCGGAAGGGGCCGAGAGTAATTTCAGTCCAGAGCTGGTTCTTACTGAAGCACTGTGAGAGATTGATTTGTTTTTTTTGTTTTGTTTTATTTGAGGCAAAACCAATTGTGAAGGAAGGAATCAGTCAGTTACTTCAACCCCATCTACTTTTATGATTTAATATGTTAGTGCCTCCAAGTAGACTTTAGATTTCCATTTGAGAATGTGTCCTTTTTTAATTGATAGAGGCTGGCTGGAGAGCTAGAGGCTTGCAGACGTCGGCGATTAGCATTTGATCGGTTCCTGTGTGTTTTTGATACACTGTAAGCTTTTTAAAACCAGTGCTGTTCTTGTGCTGTGCTCTGTGGTTGGTGTTAAAAATAAAAAAAACAAATTCAAGCTTTATTTATAACCACTGATTCTGATGACCTAATGATGATCTGATTTCTTACTGAAATGAAATTTAAGATAGGCCAAAACCCTTAAATACAGCATTACAGAGCTCCAAAGAGCACTGTCTTTCTCTACAACATCTGTTCCTGGGGGTTTAGAGAAGTAACTAAAACGTGGTGCGCACGTTGTTGCGAGGGAATCTACACAGGGGAATTGAAACTGAAAAACTAAATCTGACTTTCAGAAGCATTTGTTTTGTCCCAATTCCTGCTGGATGTGTCAGGAGCCTGTGAGGTGGGATCTTTTGCCGCCCGATGTTGAAAGGAACTGAGGGTGTGTGTGAGACACTTCCCAGGAAATTCTTGTTTCTCCATTGCCTGACTTTTGCACCCAAGATAGTCAGCGTGGCTTTCCATTGGTAAAATCTCTTAAAATTTTTTAAGCTACAGCAGTATTATTGCCACAAACATCAAGCTAGGTGCGTTGAGGAGGATTTTTAGGAGGACTTCTAGAGAATCCTTTTGCGTTAACCCCCGAGAAGCAAGTGAATCGGATTAAGGTCCCAGCTGCACGCGTTCTCGTTTCCTGCCTCCTTGTGCTAATAGTGGGGTTTAAGGGGACTGTGCCCCGTGTGAGTGTGTGCCCTCCGCCCCTCCTGACGCCTCTCCCTCTCCTCCTCCCGTCCAGCACACCTCGCACGGCGATGGGCGCCCCGAGGTCGCCACGCGCCCCGGCCGCTCTGGGGCGCGCTGCCGGAACTCCATCGCCTCCTGTGCCGACGAGCCGCCTCACATCGGGAACTACCGCCTCCTCAAGACCATCGGCAAGGGGAACTTCGCCAAGGTCAAGCTGGCGCGGCACATCCTCACCGGCAGAGAGGTATGGCGCCCGGCTCTTCAGCTGAGGGGGGGGTGGGGGTGGGCGACACGCCACCATCGCAATCCCTGGCCTGTCATCCAGGTCAAATCTACAACTGGAAGAGGGTGGAGACCTGGTCCTTTAGTAGGTCTCTCTGAAGCACCGGTGTCTAAAAGCAGGGAGAGGGTTGTCTAAGTGGTCCAGTTTAACCAGTGATGACTGGTGGTTGGAATTGAAACCTGCAGCCAGTCCAGCCCTCCAGGATCAGGATCAGGATCAGGACAGCCCCGGGTCTAAGGGTTAGAAACCTGGATTTACGTGAAATAGCTGCCATGTGAGTGACTCTTGAGGGGTAGGAGCTGAAATTCTCAGTGCTGCTGAAGAACTGCGCCGTTCCGTAACTTTCCAGTTTATTAAAATTTTTTTAAAAATAGCTTTGTATAAAAACGATGATGAAGACAGTTTGAGCTGTGTTGCGCTTAGGGACGTTTGCAGGTCTTCTAGAAGTGTTGCCAGAGCAGCTACCTGTGGCCTAGCTGAGACATGCAGGGTGGGTCCACAGAGGCTCAGTCTGAAAATAACGCCCAGCATTTGTTCTGAGTGTGTTAAGGAGGGTTGACTTGGTTTTACTGTTGCGCATGTCTCCTAGCTCTGTCAGGCCTGGGTGTTTTTGAAGATCAGGTTGTCGTGTGCAGCTCTGAGGCTTGTAACTGCTCTGGGATCTTCCTGTTTTGTGTTTCTGTTTATGACGATTTCTATCTCTGTTCTTTCCCTGCAGGTTGCAATAAAAATTATTGATAAAACGCAGCTCAACCCTACCAGTCTTCAAAAGGTAATTTTTTTTTTTTGCAGTCACTGCCTCAACCTTGTCTTGTTTTCTTTTGGTCTTGCTCTCTAGCACCTCATACTCTGTCTGTGGTTGAGCTTGTACCTTTGTTGATTGTGATTTTAACCTTCCTCTGCATACTGTTAAGGCAAAAATTGATCTTATCTGGGGACTGTTAGTTTTGTGCTCTGCTTAGCGTGAGTGGTTAAAAAATGACGCATACATGTTCTTTGTCTCAGCACTGAGTAAAAATGCTGGTAAAAGTCTTGCGAGCCTCTGAAATGAGCAGTTGTTCGGGAGATCAAAGCGCCATTCCTTTTTTGTTGTTTCAAAATGGCTTGTTTTGGTTGTTTATCTTGATTGTTTGTACCTTCATTGCTTTTTGGCACGAAGCTCATGTTGAAAATCGACCGTGTTGCATTGCTCGAGGCTCTGTGTTGTTGCTGTTCCATTATTCCAGGAAGAATGTTCGACGTGTCACGTGTTGAGACATCTGTGGTCGTGGAGACAGATGCAGGAACATGTGCTTGGCTCCCTGTCTAGCTGCTGCTACTTAAACTAGGGAGTGGGCTGGTACAGGGAGAGTCGCGTTGTTACAGCTGTGAGCCGCCTCTGTGTCCCGTTGCAGCATTGGGGCTGCTATGTTCACTGAATGGCGTGATGTCCACGCCACGGGCCTCCCCCTCCCTAGGGATGCTGGTGTCTGCAGCAGGGAGCTCTGTCCACAAGCAGTCAGGAGTCCAAGGGCTCACCCCACGCTAGCTGAAGCTTTCAAGAAGGTCTTGAATTGGCCAGCAGCCATATCATTCTGCAACTCACAACCGGCAGCCCACTGGAGCTCAGCAGGTGTGAGCCTGGTCAGTACCTGGTTGGGAGACCTCCTGGGAAAGCTAAGGCTGCTGCTGGAAGAGGTGTTAGTGGGGCCAGCAGGGGGCGCTCACCCTGTGGTCTGTGTGGGTCCTAATGCCCCAGTATAGCGATGGGGCACTATACTGTAAAACAGGCGCCGTCCTTCGGATGAGACGTAAAACCGAGGTCCTGACTCTCTGTGGTCATTAAAAATCCCAGGGTGTTTCTCGAAAAGAGTAGGGGTGTAACCCCGGCGTCCTGGCCAAATTTCCTATTGGCCCTTACCAATCATGGCCTCCTAATAATCCCCATCTATTCTTTGGCTACATTACTCTGCTCTCCTCCCCACTAATAGCTGATGTGTGGTGAGCGTTCTGGCGCACTATGGCTGCCGTCGCATCATCCAGGTGGGGCTGCACACTGGGGGTGGTGGAGGGGAGACCCCATTACCTGTAAAGCGCTTTGAGTGGAGTGTCCAGAAAAGCGCTATCGAACTGTAAGCAATGATTATTAATTATCTTGTTGCATTGATCCATGGGGGGGGGGGGAGAGAGAATCATGTTGGGGGGGAAAAAAATTCCGAGCTGTGGGCTTCGCACTTCCTCCGCTCCTGAGGCAGCGCACGCGCTGTGGCCGGGCGTCCTGGGAGGCAAGGAGAGTGCCTGCCGTGTGCCTGCGTGTCTGGCGAAACTCTGGTCTGGTTTCCCGAGCTGCAGCAGGGCTGGCTGGCTGCCGTTTGTTCTCGAAGTGCTGGCGGGACGAGGGGGGCGGCGGCGTCGTCAATCGGCCTTGGTCCGAAACTCCAAGGGCTTTCGCCACCAGCTCCTATTCGGTCCCTCTCGGCGCCGAAACTGCAGCTCCCCAACCCCCCCCCCGAGCGTTGCCCCCGCTTCGCCAGATCTCTTTAGGTGTCCCCCCACGTGATGCTTCTGGCTGCCTTGGAGAAACCTCTGCAGGAGAAGGAAAAGAAACTGCTGTTACTGTACGGTACTGCTGCACAGCAGAGAGGAGAAGTTCATAGTTCTCCTTTAAAGGGGCTCTTCTTCTTGGGTGCAGAACGATAGCAACATAAGGGTTTGCTGGGGGGAGAGGGAGGTAAATCTGAAAATATTTCTCTTCTCTTGCCCAACAAGTGATAGAAGTACTGCCTTAACATACCCACTGTGCCAGGGCCCACTGCTGACACATTGGTCTGTAATCTCTTGCTATGTGTACATTGTAGAGCTAAGTATGATTACAGTTGGTCTTCTAATGGGTTTTGTTTCTTGGAAACTTGCATATTGCTTATTGATTTGTTTTCTCCAGTCTGCCTTTTGACTTTTTCTCGAGTGCAGGACAGTTCGGTTGTTTGGCTTTTTTTTGTTGTTGTTGCCGTCGGGTGTCTGCTGATTTTGTTTCCTTTTTGAATTATGAGTTAACCACATGGCCTGCACACAGACCATCTCAGCATTTTAGGGCATGTGCTCACGTTGTCGGTGATTCTGAATGTGGGAACTGTTCTGTGTTGAGTGGCGGTGGGAGAGTGTCTTGTTTCCTGTATTTACGGAAATGGTTAGCTTCAGGTCTCTTTCCTTACTGCTTTTACTGCTTCTCGCCCTGTTCATACGTAATAAAGGGTAGGAGCTGCTAAAATTTCAAAGTCTTAGCTTTTCGTCTCGGTTCATAGCTGTATTTAATGTGGGCTTTAAAGTTACTTTTGCTCCAAAGGTTCCCAGTCTTTCCTAAATGGTAACAAGATGCTGCCGATAAAAACATCACGCTAAAATCTATCGATTTTGCGCCTTTACGGAGTCTGAACAAATCCGAGAAACATTCACTCGCCACCCGTAAGAGACGGCAGATGTGCGTAGGTTTTACCTTTGTAAGAAGAAAGTTTGTAAGTGTTGTTTGTTCCTGCTCCACAGCTGGAAATGGGGACATTGCTGTGCGTCAGCAGTCAGGGGGAGGTGTGTGTTTTCTGCGTAGCTGTAGTTCTGAAATGCAAGGCTAGGCACCAGAGTGGAGTTTTAATGGTGGGAACAGAGACTGCAAAACCATCCAGAGAGTGTCTTCTAACCCAGTACTGCTTATAGCGATGCAGAGGCTAGCGATTCCGGTGGTTCGGTTCACATGGTGCCTTGAAACAGTGTTGTCTGGTCATGTCAGAGTGAGGGACACTGTTCAAGTTTAAAACGGTTCGGCGGTATTGATCAGGCTGGAAACGTCGGGGGGCTGGGTGGCTGGAGCTTGGTGAAGCTGTGAAAGCCTGCCCAGGCGGTCCCACCCCCCCCTTTTTTCTTTGGCCGGCGGCTTGTTTTTCCGGGGCTTGTTTTGTTTGGGTTTGTTTTTGGGGCCGGCGGGTTGGGTTTGCCTTGCGTTTTTTGGGGGGACAGCTGACACGAGCAGAGAGCTGCGCAGGTGACACTGGCCCGCTGGTCAGCTGGCGCCGAGAGGCCGTTTGTAAGAGTGGCCCCCGCTGGAGCGCGTTCGTTAACAGAGTCCAGCAGCTGATGGACGTGCAGCAGAAAGCTAAATGAAACTAAAACTGAGAGGAAGCTTTGGCTACACAAAGGTTTTTGTGAAGTCAGCACTTGGGAGTTTACGCGCTGATGAAACTTGGCTCTATTTTATAACTTCATCTGGTTTTTCGGCGGCGGGGGGTGCTTCTCTGTGTACTGCAAGCTAGCGGCCACCCGTGTGTCGGAGAGGTTAAGCTCATTTCTCGTGTACGTGCGAGACTAAAGCAGGGCGAGAAAATCCCGTCCCAAGTGGCTTTTGCCCTCAGCAGACTGCACTGGTTCCAGATTTGAAAAGGTGCAGTTGAGTCTTGCGTGCCCCGACAGTGCCGTGCTGGAACACAGGCCATGGGTTCGAGTGATTCGAAGAGTGGGAGAGACTAGCCTGTCAGCTAGTCTTCTAGTGATGACTGCTTTAAAAGGGGAAAACATTTGCCACCCTGCTTCTTTACAATTAAATAATGTACAGTTTTATTGGGTGCATTTTGTTGTTTGATCGTTGTTGTTTTTTTAGCGCTCTTGTAGAATGTGGTTTTGTAAGAAACCCTGCTTGGCTGTAGCTTGGTGTATTCCATTTTTACAGAAACAAAATATTTGGGAGAATGGTTGTTCTTTGTTCAAATGCAGCTTTGGACCGGGTGGTGGCTTTTAATTCACCTCTGTCTGTGTTGTAGTTTCGCCCTGATCACGGTCAGGGAGCTGAAGAGTTGGTAGCTCACGAAAAGAAATTTGGCCAGCTTCCTTTCATAAACAGTCCTTGTGTTGTACCTAACCGTGAATTATGTTCAAAGTAATTACAGTGGTGCGGTTATTTTAATTTGCGGGCCACGTCATAAATCAGCCCAGCAGGGGTGATGAAACGGAATCATCCATTTGGAACTGCACTACTGCATTGTTGTTTCAGCAGGTGAACATATTTACAATACCGCAGTTACCGAGTACAGTCCGTTCTGTTTCTGGGTAGGTTTGCAAACCAGTGCATACTGTTCGGCCGCTGTAGGTTGGCGGGTTTGTGGTCTGTAACCCTTTCAAAGTGTGATGCTTGGTGAGGGGGGGGGGGGGGGGGGGCAGCCCATCGCCCATCGCCCATCGCCCATCGCCCATCGCCCATCGCCCATCGCCCATCGCCCATCGCCCATCGCCCATCGCCCATCGCCCATCGCCC